GAACCCCCGGGGACCGGAGATGCTGGCGGCGGGGGTGGCACTGTCACCCCGGGGTGCTGAAGGGGTTTGGCTCCGGTTCCCGGCTCTCCGGGGCTCCTCTCCGTGCCCGGGGGATGTGGCTGGGGCGGGGATTGCGGGAGGGGAGACCCCAGAGATGGAGAATGGGGAGCACCCAGCTCTGCACCCCAAAAAATGCTGCCCCAGATGAGTTGGGGGTGCAAATCTGTCCGGAGGGACCCAGGAGCTGCGGCTGCAGCCGTTTGAACCCCAAAAATGCCGCCCCAGATGTTCTGATGGAGAGCTGGGGGTGCAGATCTCCCTGGAGGAACCCCAGCTCCAGCCCTCTGCACCCCAAAAATGCCGCCCCAGATGGTCTGGGGGTGCCTATCTCCCTGGAGAGACCTGGGAGTGGCAGCTCCAGCTTTCTGCACCCCAAAAGTGCTGCCCCAGATTTTCTGATGGAGAGCTGGGGGGTGCAGATCTGCCCGGAGGGAACCGGGAGTTCCATTTCCAGCCCTCTGCACCCCAAAATGTCACCCTAGATGAACTAGGGGTGCAGATCTGCCCGGAGGAACCCCAGCTTCAGCTCTCTGCACCCCAAAAATGCCGCTCCAGATGTTGTGATGGAGAGATGGGGGTGCAGATCTCCCTGGAAGTAACCGGGAGCTGCAGCTGCAGCCCTCTGACCCCCCAAAAATGCTGCCCCAGATGAGTTGGGGGTGCAAATCTGTCCGGAGGGACCCAGGAGCTGCGGCTGCAGCCCTTTGCACCCCAAAAATGCCGCCCCAGATGTTCTGACAGAGAGCTGGGGGTGCAGATCTCCCTGGAGGAACCACAGCTCCAGCCCTTTGCACCCCAGAAATGCAGCCCCAGATGATCTGGGGGCGCAGATCTGCCCGGAGGAACCCGAGAGCTGCATCTTCAGCGCTCTGACCCCCCAAAAATGCCGCCCCAATGTCCTTTGGGGAGGACGGGAGGAGTTCACCCTGTGCCCTGCTCCCATCTCGGCTGGCAGAACTCAGGGATGGAGCCCTGGGGARGGCAGTTAATGCTCCTTAATCCCCCGGCGCGATGAGGAATTGGAGGGGAAGGTGACAAAGCGCAGCGGTGGCACAGCGCGTCCCCGGCCCGGGGTGGCAGCGGGGGCGGCTCGGACCGTGCTCGGGGCCGGGGGAAGGTGCAGGAACATCTGGAGCCTGCCCCGGGGGAATGGATTCAACCCCTGGGAGCTGCGTTCTGCCGTCCCTGACCTGGAGGGTTC